ACCTCCCCAGCTACCAGTCCACACTCCATAATTTTGAGGTCTGTGAGACTTGAACCAGCGACTCTCCAGTTCCCAAGCCAAGTCCCTACACACTGAGCTACTGTCGCCCAAATATATTAATTAATATTATTAATATTGTAATATATAATTGTAACATTCTATATTATTATTATTTCTATTTCTATTTGTTAATGTCATTTGAACTAATATGCAAAACTTCCCCTGGAGATCAGTAAAGTATTTTTGATTCTGATTTTTGATTAAAAAAATAAATAAACTGCTGAAATCGCAACTGGATAAATAATTAAAATGAATACCTGAAAGTTTGAAATGTCCAGATTCTCTGTGAGTGACATATGAATGCAAACTTGACTACACAGACTCAAACAACTGTATTAAAACATTATTGTAAAAATACAAGTTTTACATTGACACATTGGAACATGATGGTGATCATCAGTAATGGGGCTGTCAGCTTGTATCACCTCTGTGTGTTGATAAGATGGATTAATGTGATTCTAAACTCAGCTGTACCATGTTAGAAAATAGCTTATTACTTCCTTTTCTAAAGTAATTGGACAACGGATTAACTTCAAGATAATATGACAGCGTTTGAGCCATCAACAGTCTTAAGTGAGACTGGGGGTTCGAACTCCTATTAAAGAAGACTTTGCACTCTGGAGCAGTATGTATAACAATGGTGTGGTCTTTTAAAAAACCAATGCATAATCAGTGGAAACGCCCTTACTTATTATGTTTGCCTTTACCTCAGGATGCCTGTAGAGACACGTTCAATTAGAGACAGATCTGCAGTGGGTCGGTTTCCATCTGTCACTCTCGGACTTGGGGAAGACACAGAGGAAGAGAAGGAAGAGCCGGAGCCAGAGTACAATGCTGAGAAAGAAAATGCATGTCGGCAGTGGCTGCGTAAGGTCTGCCCGTGCTGCTGCCCCAAGTCAAATGACGATGACATCACAGACACTGTGGTCACAGCCATTGATGACCTAGATAAGGGAGAAGAGACAAATGGCGAGAAGCCTGTGACTGGTGACGGCGAGCTTGATGGTAACCAGCATCTCAGAGAGCTTATGATTGTGTTATTTATCAAAGTAAATGCCAGCCACATGATAGACTTCGCTCTCATGTATTTGCTTTTTTTTTTGCAGAACTCCTCCTGAAGGTGCAATCAATAGACCTGATGAAGAGCAAATCAGGGCAGAACCGCACAGAGCACCACACAAATCTCTACCAAAGTGATGACTTTGTTATTCGCAGAGGACAGACTTTCCAGATGTGGATTACCCTGTCTCGACCTTTTAACCCCGACACTGACAAACTTCACCTTGAACTTAAAACAGGTTAGTGAGAGTCCCTGACAGAAACTGTGCAGTGCTTGCTGAACACGTCCCTACAAGCCTCTGCAAGTGTTGTGTTGTCATGTTTTATAGCTCTAAATAGACATCAGAATAACACCATAAAGACAGACAACAAGAACACAGACTACAGTTACACAGAGAACAGACATGCTTATGAATACTAATCCCATTTAAATGAATTTCCCACATGACCTCTAATCTTAAAAGGCCGATTGTGAAACTGGATGGATGCAGCCCAGCCTGACCAGACTCACATGCTTTCCTGACCCACTATGAAACCCTGTGCAGAGCTGCAAATGATAATTAAGAGTTCCCTCTTTCTTGGCAGACACGGGAAAGAGAGGGAGGTGATAGGTTAAGAGCTCTGGGAGGAAACAAAACGTTAACAGTGAGCAGTTTTGCTCTCATGCTCGTGTCTTGCGGTTTATTCAGCTACTCATGTGTGCGGAGTATATCGATTCTGTTGAATGTGTGTGTGAGATAGTTAGATTTATGGATGGATAGGCAGGTAGAGAGGGAAAAAGATGGAAGAAAAAGAGGTTACAATTTGGTTACAATTGCTATGGTAACAACAGTTCTGGTTGCTATGCTCCGGGGAGAGCGTTTTACAGATGCCGAGCCCTCAGTCCGGCTCTAACTAAAAATCCAGTACTGACAATTCACCACGAATGCTGCCACTACCAACTGTCTGAGCCTCAGCCCGCCACCTGTTTACCCACTGTTCATTTCTGTCTCTGCTCTCATTGTATTAAGTGCTGTAAGTGAGAGAGGACACAGACCAATATAGATCCTACAATTACAGCTGTGTGTGATAACAATTGAAGCTTGACGATAATAATTACAATGTCTCTTTTACAGAACGGTTGCATCCATATTATGAATGTGTCCATTGCTTAATGCTAACATGCATATTTTAATAAATGGTTGCTATTGTGACCAAAATAATGGCAGTTTTTAAAACCAATATTGTTTCCTTGAGAAAAAAAAACACGTCCACATTGTGATGTAATAACAAAAACAACGCTGATCATAACGGATGCGTATAATTTCCATCCATCTATCATACCAGCCATAACAGCTGCAGATAATGCCTTTTTTTTGTGTTTTGTTTTCAAATGGTTGGTATTTCATTTAAAAATTGTTTAACAGTAAAGTGCCATGTTTCTGCTCATATCTCAGTTCAAACTGTTTTCAACCGTGCCGACAGTACACTGTCCAAACACTGCACTCTGAGCCATGAGCCCCGCAGTGTGAAGCTAATTACAGCCCAGTCTAAAACAACACAGACTTGTTTTTAAAATTCAAGTGAATGTCAATGACAGTAGAAGTCTCTGACACTGTGGTTTGCGGTGCGTTTCAGTCTGAAGTCCCGCTAAGGGCTCAGAGGCTGCAATTTCATAACATCTCACCGAATGAAAGTGAGCAGCAGATTGAGCTGCACACTGACAATTTTGCTATTCTTAGAGTCTTACCTGTTGCAGGGCTGAAAGTTTTTCCTGAGGCACTGAAACATGAAAGGCCCTGATGTCAGTGGGAAAAAAATGATTTATCCCCTCTGGGAGCATGAATGTATTCAGAAAATTTCATGCCAATCTGCCTCTTGGATTATAAAATGTGTTGTGTGCGAAGTTGACATTTTGTCTGTGGGGTGGTGTAAGAGTTAAGCTCAGTGAGAGTCCAAAATGTTAAATTTGACATTTTGGGAAATTGACTTATTCGCTTTCTTGCCAAGAGTTAAATGAGAAGATCACTACTACTCTCACATCTTTTTGGTAAATATACAGCTATACTCCGCAGTCGCTTAGCATGAAGACTGTATAGACAAAGAGCTAGCCCGGTCAGAAGGTGACAAAATCCACGAAGCTCACTAATTCACACATTATAAATAAGTGTAAAAATATTCAACTTCTGATTTTACAGGGGTTATTTGCCTGACCATTTCTTTGCCAGGAGCAGTAACTTCCTGGCTGTAGCCATATATTTGCTGGACAGATATGAGAGTAGTCGAAATTGTCAAATAACTCTCTGCAAGAGAGAGAAAAAGAGCTTATTATATATTGGTCTAATGGTTCAGGGAATGTGCTCAGGAAATCTCACAGATATATGGCCATTATTTTGATATTGCTCATGTCCATGTTTAATTTTAGCCTTATTCTGACACAATAGGGAAGGACAGGAAATCACCAGAAAAAAGTGGGCTGCAGTTTCGTAGTGCAGCGGCTCATACTGGCTGTTTCTTTCATTTCATTCATTTCTGTGGAGGCAGGTTCGGGTTCCTGTTATCAAACATTTATCTAAATACAAATCTTCAGGTGAAATTGCTGCATACTGACTTGTTTCTGTTAAGGCATTGTTGAAAGACAAGGTCACACCCACTGAGGGTAGAGGATACAATCCAGGGAGGGCTGTAGTTTTCCGCATTCACTTTAGGGGAGCGCTCTTTAAATTGACTACAAATAGAGTGTTTCCCAACAGCTGGATGTAATGTTGGAAATAATTTTTGTTAGTTCTCATTAAACCATTTTGGTATCTCTTTTTATACCAAGGAAACAGAAGCCCTACAGTTACCTCAGACACCCATAATGACAGACTGCGGTGGTTGCTGCCAAAGTAAAGATTCCTTTTATAGTACAGCTACTCTGAGATCTAATGCTGTCGTGACATGCTGTGTGTGAGAGTGTGCAGGTGTGTGTGTGCGCGCGCGTCAGGAAAGTACATTCTGGATTGTTTCTATTTGGTTTCTGTTTATTCAAACTTACACCACAAGGTAGGAATGCAGGTGTGGCCCTTTCATTGAGGGAAGTAAATTGTTGTGAAAAGGTTGATTGAACTGTGCTCTTATTCAGTTTGAGCATGGTGTGAACAAGCAATAGTTTCCAAACACTATATTACTTAACATGTAGATGACGTGTGTCTCATCTCACCCTCTCAGGGCCACTGCCAGCAGTGGCAAAGGGAACCCATGTCATCATCCCTTTGGTGGAGGACTTGGAGGACAATCGTTGGGAGGCTGCTGTTGTGAAACAGGTTGACAAAAGGATAAAGCTGTCGGTGAATTCTCTACCCACGGCAGCCATCGGCCGATATCAGCTCATAGTGGAAACAAATTGCGCAAGCGGCAAGGCCGTTTCCAAGCATGAACCTGCTAATGACATCTACATGTTGTTCAACCCCTGGTTTGAAGGTAATTTGCTTTCTGGCAGAAAGTTAAAAGAGAAGATCGATTCCACTCATGTCTGTCCATTCATGGTGCAGTGTGTAGTGATTTATTGGCATCTAGTTGTGTAGTTGAAGATTGCAACTACCGCACTTCACCACCCCTTCCAAATCCGAAGTGAATTTAGTTTGTCTATTCTGGGCTACTGTAGAAACATGGTGGTTCAACACGGTGCCCTCAATGTAAGGCAAACTGCATCTGTAGGTGAAAAATGGCTCCTTCTTACAAAAACACAACGATTCTTATTTTCAGGTGATTATACACTAATAAAAACACACCTATGAATATTATATTTGATTTTTGCCAATAGATCCTCCTAAATGTTACACACTGGACCTTTTCATATAGTGCTACAACAAGCAGCAGCTTACAGGTTAGCATTAAAACTAGGAGGGGGGAAACAGCTAGCACTTCTAAAACCTACTAATTAACAGGTTATATCTTGTTGAAAGTTTACAAAAGAGCAGTGACTTCATGGTGTGTCTGCTGTGTCTTACCTGAGAACGGCTCAGGGCTAAGAAATTGTCAAGAAAACACAGACAGAAATTTAAAATTTTACACTGTTTATGAACAAATTTAATAAGCAAGACATGACATGTTTATCAGTGGGCTTAAGAGGTGGATTATTGTGAAGTGTCTTGTTTTACCTCTACTGGTTTTCACATAGTAAAACTAGGGACATACTAATTCTGATTGACAAAAAAACAAAAAACTGATCAAATTGTGGTAAGAAATGTGAATAATTTAAGCTTGTTATATCACATTTAAATGTCCCACTTATTCTCTGTCAGATGACACAGTGTTTATGGATTCTGAAGACGAGAGGCAGGAGTATGTCCTGAATGATGTTGGACGGATCTACTACGGCACACAGAATCAAATTGGAGTGCGGACATGGAACTATGGGCAGGTGAGGATTGTGTGGTCTGCCAGTGTTTGGTGTTCGGTGTAAAGAGCCACTGACAGGCTTTTTTCACCCTCCCTCTGTTTTCGCTTTGGTTTCAGTTCAATGACGGGATTCTTGCTGCCTGCCTCTATGTCCTGGAGAAGAGTGGAACTCCTCCGTCTGGTTGGGGAGACCCAGTTAATGTGGTGCGAATCATCTCAGCCATGGTGAGACTGCCTTAACTGTTTTTCTGCACCTGATCTACCGACCTTTATATTTCTCTTCATAATGTGCTAGTACACAGAGAGCAAATAGAGCAATAAAAACCCTCTCTCAGTACCATATTAAATTTTGATGTATCCTATTTGAGCACTAATGGAAAATGGTACATTTAGACAGAAAGGTCTTTGCCATGCTTAAATATGCTGTACTGACAAAATCTACACAACTATTGGATGGATTGCTCTGATATTCTGTGCAGACATTGATGGTCCCCAGAGCATTAAGCCCACTAACTTTGCTGATCCCCTTACTTTTCCCTAGTGCCACATTGAGGTGGACATTTCTGATTTTTAGTGACATGCCTTGACAACTATTACATTTGATTGAATTGAATGAAATTTGGTACAGGCATTCATGTTGCCCAGAGGATGAATCTTAGAGACGTTTGGTGATCCTACTTTTCCTTTAGCTCCACTAGCAGGTCAAAGGTTTCAGTAAGCCTGTCTCAACGTCTACTGGATAGATTGACTAAAAATTTTAGTGTCATTCCCAGGACATTTTGACACCCCCCTCTGCGTCTCCATACAGAGGCACAAGGTACCCATTAGTGTCAGTTTGACACTCAGCGGGCTGTCATCTAACTCTAATGTAATCCATCCACATCACGTAAAGAGTGAAAAAGTCAGTACATAAGGAGGTGGCTGGAGTGGATGGATGGGTCAAACAAACAACAAACAATTTTCACCCAAGAGACCGGGGTTTGTGTCTTGTGTGAAACCAAAAGTCTTTCAAGTTTTATGTTGTATAACATTACATTTTGTGACTTTTACCCAAATTATGATGTTTTCCTAAACCTAGCCAAGCAGTTGTGTTGCCTTTGTAAGCCTGTAAACCTTTACAAATGGAAAAAGAGGGCTTCAGCTAGGGCAGGGTTTATATTTCTAGGAAACTGAGTTCATGGCTTCAAACTCAGAAGTATATAAAAAAACAAAAACAAAAAACATTTTGTCATTTATCCAGATCAACTCCCCAGATGACCTCGGTGTCCTGGAGGGAAACTGGTCCGGAGACTATTCGCTGGGAACTAGTCCAACAGTTTGGAGTGGAAGTGTGGAAATCCTGAAGGAATACTATAAAAACAGCGGCACTCCCGTTAAGTATGGCCAGTGCTGGATCTTTGCTGGAGTAGTCACTACAGGTTAGCTTTTTATTTGAATCACCTTTACATGACGTGCGCTTGTATGGGTGTGTGACATGTAAATTTAACACAGATATTGACTGCTAATGCCTTATCACTTCTTCTTTTCAGTTTTAAGGTGTTTAGGCATTCCCAGTCGAACTGTGACCAACTTCAGCTCAGCTCACGACACAGACGTCTCCTTGACGACAGACGTATACCTGGACGAGAACCTGGAGCCTATAGCTTACCTCAATGCTGACTCTATCTGGTATGTCCTGTTGCCGTCATTGTGATGCTGCCTTATCATGACATTACTCTCTGGTTCATTAAGCCTGACCTTCAAATCTCTTCCTGAAGGAACTTCCATGTGTGGAACGACTGCTGGATGGCTCGTCCAGACTTGCCCCCAGGCAATGGAGGCTGGCAAGCTGTCGACGCCACACCTCAGGAGACCAGCCAGGGCACCTTCCGCTGTGGCCCTGCTTCTCTTGCTGCTGTCCGCAACGGTCAAGTCTACCTCAAACACGACTCTCCATTTGTGTTCGCTGAGGTTTGTGGATTCCAGCAATTCTGCATTGCACTTCCATAAAGTCGTAGAAATTGCAAAGAATAAAAAACCCCTCTATAATTCAGTTTTCCTCACATACCTTACCTGCAAGGGTGAACAATTAACCCTTAGTTGCTTGTCTTGTGTTGACAGATCATGCGTGTACTGTGTACTAATAATGAGCCATATGGCATACATCAAAAGATGGATGACGTCTACCATCTGTTCAGAGCTTTGTTTTAACTCCCCTCTCTCTTGCTCCCCCTCTCCTAGGTTAACAGCGATAAAATATACTGGCAGAAGAATGTAGACGGGACCTTTACTCAAATCTACAGTGAGAAAAAGACTGTGGGACACTTCATCAGCACAAAGGCTGTTGGCTCCAATGAACGCAATGATATCACACACCTTTACAAACACCCTGAAGGTAACATCAAACACTCACTTGACAGAAATCACAAGCACTTAGAGTATTAGACCAAAGCATTTCCACTGTATTTTTTATTGAATTAACTAATTTCTGGTTATTCTCAGGCTCAGAGGAGGAACGCATTGCTGTGGAAACAGCATGTAGATATGGCACCAAAGCAGAGGCCTTTTCCTCTCCCACAGCAGAGGATGTCTCTGTAGAAGTGACCATGGAGGGTGAAGGTCCTAAAATGGGAGGAGATGCAGAGCTGAGCCTCATCTTGCGAAACAGCAGCTCAGAGCAACGCAAGGTCTTCCTGCACAGCCAGGTGGCAGTCATGTACTACACCGGTGTCAACAAGGCCACAGTCAGAAAGGACAGTACAGACGTGGACTTACTGCCCAACGAGGGTGAGTGGCGCTTTTGAACACAGGGTTCCTTTTTTCTTTCATGACACCTACAAGAGTAGACATTTCTTTATCAGAGTAAAGGAAACTTTCCTCACAATTAAGTAGAATTGCAAAAAAGTGCATCTGTGATTGTATTTCCTTAGAAGAAACTAGCTAAACTTGCAGAAAACTGTAACATGGAATAACGCCTTTTAACCCTGCCCAAAGGAAGAGTTTGACATTTAAACCAAACTTTCTTACAAAGGGTAAGCCTAGCACATTACAGCTCCCAGCTAAGAAATATTATAGCACATAACCCCCTTGTACACTTCGGTTTTTATACACATAAAACAAACAAGAAGTAAACTACCTTCGAGATGCAGATTAGCTGATATTGTTAACTTTGGACAGAGCCAGGCATTAGTCTTTGTGCCAAAATGTCAAACAACTGCTTCGACAATTTTACTCGATATTATATAATATATAATATATATATAAATAAGTAGGGGAACCTTTGTAATTGTAGGGTGCCACAAGGCAGGTGACAAATATGAAAATACACTTTTAACATTCTTTGCTTTCATCTTCTGTCTACAGAAAAAGTGTTGGAGTGGACACTGGAGTACAAAGACTACAAGGACCAACTGATAGACCAGGCCGCCCTGATGATGACACTGTCAGGCAGAGTCAAAGAAACACAGCAGGTCCTGGCCACTCAGTTCAGTTTCCGGCTCAGGACCCCAGACCTCATCCTAAAGGTAAACCAAACAATTCATCAGGAAAATATTACTGTGAAGAAGATTACATTTTTAAAAAATTATTTCGTTTTTTTACTTTGTTCTTCTCTCACGCAGCCAATCGGGAAGCCTGTGGTCGGGGAGAAGATGGCAGTAGAGATTTCATTCACTAACCCACTACCACAGGTGCTGAAAGCAGTCATATTCCACGTGGAAGGACTGGGCCTTCTAACTGCTCGAAAGATTAATTATGGGTAAGGAGGAAAAATATACTTTATATTGTGTTTTTTTTAAACTACCCTGTCTATCTTTTGTGATTTCCACTGTCATTTCCTGTCTTACCCTCAGAGATATTGGCAGCCGTGCTACTGTGTCTCTGACTGAGAACTTCGTCCCCACCCTGCCTGGACCGAGGAAATTACTGGCTTCACTGGACTGCAGGCAGCTCACACAGGTTCATGGCGTGACCGACATCACTGTGCAGGATAAAAGCAACGGCACTCTATAATAATTTGAAAACAGAGGCACTTTGACAATGAATATTCCATGAAAACCACTATTAGGTTATACCTTGTGACAACGGTCTACAATATACAGGTGTGTAAAAAGGCAGCTTAAATAAAAGAAGTGTACTTTTGTAAGGACAGGCTCTCCACTGAGATCATGCTTTATTTATACATAATATATTTATTTAGTTAATTTTGCCATGTGTTGACAATGAGAATTATTTTATTTAAATATCCAAATACTGCTGTAAATGCTGTTGTATTATTAAAACCAGAATAATTTAAAAGATGTCCTGGTGATTTACTGACTTACTAACTTTACAAACCTTATGTTGGTATCCTGTGTTCACTGAATGTTTGGTTGCAATGGCTTCACGGTGGTTGGCGATAGATGTGGGGTCGTGCCACCATGTCTGAGGACTAACAGCAAAACATAGGAAGGTACTTCTGTGCTGTAGTGGAGTGCTCGAAATGATAGGAGAGAAGATAAAAAGTCATTTAATAGGATACCAAGCAGGCCATCAAGGCGAGAAGATCCATCTGCTGCAGAGTGGGTACAAGCGCTCCGGGGGTAGAACTTCAGCTGATGAAAACAAACACCACTACAGATATGAAACTTAATTAATGCTACCATATCTGCTCCAATCATTTCATCAAGGGTGAGTAAAGTGCTGAATATTAAAGATCCCCTCCAGACGTGTATTAAAAAAAATATTTACGAAATAGCCTGTTTGGAACAATAATGTGTGTCTGATGTGTTTTTTCCACAAAAAAATATAATTTCCACATTAATATCCTTAAAAAGTCATCTACTACTCATATTCTACCTCATTAAAAAGTCCTTAATCAATGAATATGCAAATGTTGTTTATTTCTAAAGTTTTCCTGCTAGACACAAGATTTCTCCTACTTCTCTGTAAAGTCCATTCTCCAGTGTATGTGCACTGGTGGCTTCAAGTAACTACAGCACATTCAAATTGGACCAGGGTTAAAACTATTTATGATGTCATAAACTCTGCTTGTAGGCCCCGCCCCTTAAAATCTAA